GACCAGGGTGTCCCTTTTCTTAAAGAGTTCCCCTTTGATGTCACTTCCTGTTTTGTTTTTGCTGAGCAAAGTCCAAGAGAAAATATATGCCAGGGGTAAAATTGAGCATTATGGTTTGGTTTAGTTTGGTTACTTTATTTATACCAAAAAGGTAAATTTGTATTGCAGTGGTTCAAAGCATACGTATCAAATGCACACACACAATTATAAGAAATAAGAACACATTAGCAAAAAGAACCATTCACATAGTGCTTGAGGCTCCACATATCAAATTTAAATCAAAGCAGGACATGATAAAAGGGAAATGAAACTAAAAAATAAACTTAATATAAATTACAAGTTGAGAAAAAAAACACAATAGATAAAATCCAATATTGAACCATTGAAGACATCTATGTCACATCATTTTGTTCATTTCAGTAACAGCAGTGGGAACAAAGCTGTTTTTAAAATGTCTTGCCCTACATTTAGGGATCAAAAACCTCCAGCCAGAGGGACAAAGCTGAAACTCCTGGTAAAGGGGATGGAAATCCTCTTTTAAAACAGAAAAGGCTATCCGCTGTACCCTGGCTGATGTACAGAGATGCAACTGATTGTTGGGTCTTTCCAATCAGTTTAGACAACTTAACAACCTGCTGTAGGTATTTTTTTTMTCAATGTAACTTGACCGAACCTTGACACCAGGGAAAAGGATAAAACTGATTCAATAAAAACATGGTAAAGCATGGTCATTATGGTTCGGTCAATGTTAAAATGGCAGAGTTTCCTTAGACAGAAAATATGCTGATGTGCCTTTTTGCACACTGTCAAAATTAATTTCAAAGTTTAGTTTATTGTCTATAACTGTTCCAAGATATTTATAAGGCTGCGCTCTCTCAATGGCTTGACCTTAAATTAAAGAGCCAAGTTTATTAAACACAAAGATGTTTCTATTTGAAGGATACGCATGTCTCAGATACTTTAATGTTGACAGAAATTAAAAAAACTAAAAAGCTAATTCTAACAAGAGAAATAATAAAAATTACATTTTTAATCCAACTATCAGGAAGTGTTTCAGTCTTTAGGTGCCCTAAATGAAAATGCTTTTTGACCAAAAGCTGATTCTCTGGTGAACAGAGTTGTACAAATATGTTCACTTGTGAAGCTTAAACACGTTTCAGAATATATCTTACTGTAGTTATTGAGTACTGTAATAATGATGATACTGCAGTGGTTTGCCAGTACTTTTAATGCCTGATTATTAAGAAATCTGACTGGTTTTGATTAAAACCAAAAGGATAAAAGGCAGCGGTGCCCAAACATTTCCCCCAAAAGGGCCAAAATGAAAATCTGTCCAGGGCTGCAGGTCAAATGCAGTAAAATAATACATGAAATACAAATACTTTTTTAAGGAAAGTCCTTTATGTTTAACAATTAGGCTAGCAGCCAGTGTGGTGGCCTGCTTTTGTTTTAGTCTGTGCACTTGGAGACAGTCTGCCATACGCTCAAGTAGCAAAGGCTCATGGGACATTTTATAAATTGATAAAATGATTTTTTGTGGCCTTATAAAGTGCGCAAATCTACACATGTGCTTCAATCTAATCTAAATATCTTGTTCTAACATGTGTTTCATGTTTAATCTTAATACATCAAAGATAAAGTCAGCGCCATACAGTAAGTGAAAACTGTCTGCACTACAGCTCCTTATATGGTCACTGGGCCAATGGATGTAATGACTAAGTGGAAATACTGTGTTTCTACATAGTTTCAATATTGTTGATATATCATTACTAGTAACGATATATCAACTGCTGGTGGGCCAAATCAAATGGCTTGGCGGGCCAAATTTGACCCACAGGTCCCACTTTGGGCTCCTCTGATATAACGTAATAAATCATTGCAATAATGCAGCTGTGCCAATATGGATACAAACCTCAGTGCTCCCTTCCTATAAAGCTCAGAGTGTTTCTAATAAATAATTTGACAATTAACAGCTTGAATAAAACCCTTACAATCAGTTATTTTATCTGACAGCTGTGTGTCCAGATCCGAATTCAAATGAGTAAAAACCTAATAGGTGTCGAGGTCTGAAGGGGTTTGAGTCCAGGAGCAGGCAGACACAAGAACTCTAAATAAAAACAGATTTATTAAATAACAAAAACAAGAGCCGACGTGGCGGCAACAAACTTGCAAGACAGGGGAACAGACAACCAGGACTGATGATAAAGATCATGAAATGATCCAGCAGAGAAGTGGTGACAAATGACTGGTTAAAAACAAACTGAGGGGAGAGAGGGGGAAAAAATGGGTAACAGAGTAGATATCAAACAACAGGTGAGAGTGACTGACTGGAGAGTTACTGAGAAGCAGACTGGGGTAAACTGAGAAATTGCACAGAGAGACAAGGAGCTAAACACAAAAATAATCTAAATAATCTAAATAACACAAAGAACTGTGGAAAATAATTCAACCAAAACACAGCTCAGGCCTTCAGTCAATCCTCTACTGCCCTCTACTGGTGAAATTGAGC